GGCTGATGACTCTGTGTTTGTCTCGAACCAGATGCACCAGATGTGCCACTCAACTACGGGAAAAACCTTTTCAGGTGCCCCACTTGCCCACACTGATAACAAGCGAGCGGCTGACCTCTGCCCTACCTCTGGCTCTGAGAACGAGCCGAATAAGAAGCTGCTCTCTGCCTTCCTCCCCTCTGTGGGCAAGTTGGAGACTTGTAGCCCAGCTGACCACATTTGTAACATGTGATGTCTCCCTGACCGCCTCTCCTAGAACCTGAACTCGGTACTGAAAAGGTAGATCTAGAATGTGCTCTTTGGGACTGCTGAGGGTTAGAACCCCTCTGCCTCTTACCGTCCCCCTAACTATCCTGGCTCCTCCCAGAGCCCCTCATCCTCTTCTCCTCAGTATGCATAATAGTCTCAAGATGGGCTGCAGCCTGCACAAGGCGCCCATACTCCCTAATCACGGACCCGACCACTCGAAACATGAGTCCAGTCCTCAATTTCTTTTCAAACTCCAAGCACCTACGCTCTTCGGTCGCCACCAACTTTGGTGCAAACCTCGATAAGCTAGTGAAGGTGGCCTCAAACTCTGCCACTGGTGTATTCAGCTGCTTGAGCTGACAGAACTGGTCTCTCAACTTCTCCCTAATAGTGGGAGGCAAGAACTTCTCCTGAAAGGCATCAACGAAAGCCTCCAAAGTCCCTCTAATACGTCCTTGCACAATTTCCACCACTGACCTGCATCTCCTTTCAACTGGAAGGACGCCAAGGTCACTCGTAAACCTTCGTCTTTGATGCCGAGCATCTCAAACATCTTCGTCATCTATTCAAGCCACTCATCACCCTTCAGTGGCTCTTTTGGATCACCCAAAAACTCGTCCGGATTCGACCGGAAAAACTCTCTCTTCAAAAAAGACGGCCCTGCCTCAGTTACATGGGCTTGGACTTGATTCTTAGTCCTGAGAATGTCCATGGATTCCCTCAATGCTCCTGCCATCTCGCGGGCTAAGGCGCTCATGGCCTGCTGACCTACTGGCTCGGCCACATTGGCCTGACCAACTCCCTTCTCCTGTGTTGGAATTTCATCTGGTATAGGCATCTCCTGCCTCCTAGGCCTACCACGCCTACCACCACGTCCTCGTCTTAACATCCTAATAAAGGTAACAAAAGGATTAGCACATTCAAAAATGTGCCGAAGCTATTTCACTCACGTCCTAATACATTGGACAACTGTAAGTTACTCAACATAAGTACATAATCACATAAGTACTTACGAATTTCATCTCCGGATAATAACCGTCCTGTGGTGTTGCTAGAGTTCCAGTTAGAAACGGCAGTGATCAAGTGCCTTTCCAACAGGACTCCTAGAAACCCAAGGATCCAATCAATATCCTAGAAACTAAATCCCATACCCATATAGTCATATAAACATGTTATCACATAAGCACAAAACATTACATTTAAGCCTCTAACAAGCGAGACAAACACATTGTGGTACTCACCACTTCCCACGTACCCAAAGTATTCAAACCCGGTACGCTCTGATACCAAGTTATCACGCCTTCAAAATAAACGCATAAATCAATCATTTATAATATCTATAGACATAGGAAAATAAAATATATTCATTTATCAGAGTATTCTTAACAAAAAAGTATTACATGTTGACAACAAATGTAAATGCTCTACGAGCTTACAACTTTCCAAGTCAACACTTGGTTACCACAAAAGAGAGTTCTAAATCTTTACATCTTAAGCCCTTGCCCTAGAATTACAGATAACATCAACAAAATAACAAAAAGAGAGTCTTCAACTTCTAAACCTCCCATGCTATCTTGGAGGCGGCATATCACCTGCACCTGTAAAATAGTGTCCCAAGTAGGGTGAGCCAAAACCCAATAGAAACATGCTAAACCAAATATGAGAAATAACTAAAACATTAGCATTCGATAAATGATCAACACTTATAACAAACATATCCCCTTTCCAAAATTAATCAACATTTATAATCGTATCTCAATTCACTTCCATTTATTATCCAAATCAATTCATAGACATAGTTTATTAGCTAGCCAAACAATTTAAATGAGATTACAACTCATCTTATTAACACCTCAATTATCTATAATTCAAAATGAGACTACAACTCATATTATCAACACTTCAATTATTAACATCATTCAGATGTATAAAAGGTTTCGAGACTTTCACCTTGGTCACTCCGACCAACTTAATTATCAATGGAGTCCATTCTTTATCTCCTTCCAAACTGTGGAGTACATTCCCTATCTCCTCTCAAACCATGGAGTACATCCCTTATCTCCTCCCAAACAAAGATACATATGCAATGTATTTAAACACTTCATCATATACAATGATCAATTAATGCACACACTCAGTGTGTTATTCCAACTGTCACATTCAATGACATATTCCAATTGATTAGTTTCAATTTACTTAATCATCATGTAATTCTATAACAATCATGGCTATCCTCCATTGATAGCCCAAAACAGTTATTCTCAGCAGATAATTAAATTTATCAAACAGATCAATACATTTTCCATAGGTGAGCGATTTATCAATCCAACTACACCATTCAATTACATTTCCACCCAATTTCATCATTTCCAATCCAATTATAAATTCCCTTAGTTAATTTCATTAAGTTGGCAAATAACTCATTTAATCCCAATTAGGGCATTTTTTTTTCCCTTTCTCAAATAACAATCTTAACGCTCAAATTCATCATTTATATACAAATAATCCCCTTTTCAAGACCTCAAATTCACAATGGAACCCAACACCAAGGAACCCCTATTTTATAATTTTAAATCAAACTCTAACTTTCCCAAAACTCCCAAACACCATCATCTATATGAAATAACCAACATTTATGTCAAAACTCATAGAAATGAGTAGATTATCCCTACCTCAAAGTTAGGAGCCCAAAGGAGAAGAAGAGTGAAATCCAAGATGCTCCAAATCCACAAATTTTTGGATCAATGGGAAGCCCAAGCCAAGCTCTAACTTTCTTACAAAGGGATAATGGTAGAAAACTCTTAGAACATGGAGTATTTGTAGAGAGAGAGAGAGAGAGAGAGTTTAGAGAGAGAGGCAGCCAGATCAAGGGTTTGGATGAAAAAGATGATGAAAAAGTAATGTATAACCCGCTGCTGTTAACTGATATATTTGAACCTCGCTCTAGTGAAGAAGTGGTCGCTCGAGCGACCAGACACAAAAGAACCTCGCTTGAGCGTAAAAAGCGTCGCTCGAGCGAACAATGCGAAGCTTCAGGTCTGCAATCCAGAAGCACGCTCGAGCGCAAGAGTTCTCGCTCGAGCGAAGAAACATAAAACATAGAGCTCACTCGCTCGAGCGACAAAAGCCTCACACGAGCGAAGAATACCAACCTTCAGGTCCAATTTAGATGCAGACGCACACTCGAACGCAAGAGTGCTCGCTCGAGCGCAAGAATCTTCACTCGAGCGAAGAAGCAGAAACCCAAGGCTCGCTCGAGCGACAAAAGCTTAGCTCGAGCGAAGAAGCCAAAATCTGGACAACAACTATATGTTCCAACACCCAACCAACCTGTTCTAAACTTACCCAACACATCCTAAAACTCAAATATAAAGAATTAAAGGATGGAAACAAGATATAGACCACAACCAACCACTACGGAACCTAAGTCCGAATAAAATAAATGATGAGAAAAACCGAGATCGCTATAAAAGTCGTCATACAACTTATTTTATGTTGGTTAATTTAACTTGTGTGTTGTTTGAAATGTAATGCTTTTTTTTTTTAATTAATAATGTTAAAACTTTATTGGTTATAAAGTTCTGTTTTGTTTGATTTTTAAAATTTATTTAAAATTTTTTTTTCTAAGAAATTAAAAATTAAATTGGTAAAAAAAATAAATTAAAAACACATTATTTTTATATAATTTTATCTTTTGGGAGGGTAGAAATAATTTTTTAAAATATTTTTTTATATGTATTTATTTTCGTTAAATTATTTTTTATTTTTTCAAAAGTCAAATATGACGACAATTTTGATGTCATTATTAAACCAATCTATTAAATCAAAAAAATCCAAAACTAAAAATATATCATATATTAAACATATCAATTACACATTAACAACTTAATAATCATTCATTACTTGATAACTATTTAAAAATATTTGTTCATAACAAATACAATCATCTATTACATGATAACCATCCAAAAAATCAACAAAAATAACCACTCATTACATGATCATTATCCAATCACATACTAAAAATTAATTTGGTAAAAGAATAAAAATGTAAAAGATTTATTATTTTTATATAATTTTATCTTTGGTGAGTAGAAATAATTTTTAAAAATTGAAAAATATTTTTGGATATTTATTTTTGTCAAACTAGTTTATATTTTATTAAATTGATGACTTTGCCATTGAAATGGTGCAATAGTGCCTTCAATTATCCTTATTTGGAACGAGATTCAAATTGAGGGTCAAATATATCACAATTGAAAGGTCAGAGACTAAAATGATACAAACTCCAAATTAACTAATTCGCTCTTTATAATTTGAATTGGATTTTTCTCATGTAGAGATCTCAGTAGGAGAGAACTTGAGGGACTCATAAAGCCTATTACAAGTCTCATTTTAATGATCAAAATTGTTCATTTTGTGGGGTCCTTAATGTATATCATCTATGAAAAAATATAAGTCAATCTGATAAACATAATCGTTTTATTTCATCCCATTTATCTCTGAAAAAATAGATTATCTATTTTAAAAATATACTTGTCGTCTATATTTTTTAAAGACAAATACGATAGAATAAAAAAATTACAATTATAAGATAAAACTAATTTTTTTAATAGATAATAAATATTAAAAATTTTACAAATTAAATAATTTAAATTATCAAAAGAGAACTAGAAAAACAAATCTGAGAGGATTGGTAATAATTTACCCTAAATTTTGTGGTGTAAATAGAAAAACAACCGTGGGAACCTAGAAATTTCCGCAACACTTGAAAAAGCCACTTTACTGTCTGTGTGTGGGTCTACACACACTCGGGGGTGCTCTTTCTCTCTCTCTGATCGTCAACGTCTCTTGAGTAAACCAAAACCCCCAAGCCTGAATTAGGGTTTCGATCACAACAGAAATCCACTAAGGTACCTCGCTCATTGCTCTCTTCTTCTTCTTCTTTACATCCCTCTGTTTTGTTTTGTAGTATATGTGTGTATACGATCACAATTCGTTTCATATTCGTTTAATTAGTTTCCTTTTTGGTCTCTATGTTGAATTGCAATGTCAAATTGAGTATGTTTAGGTGCCAAAAAGATTGATTGAAGATAACCCTTTAAGTAATTCTCACTACCAGAGAAAAATGAGAAGAATTGTGAAAAACCATAAAGCTAACAAATTGTCTGTGTCTTCTAGTAGAAAGTGCAATTAGGATATGAAAAAGTATATATTCATCTCAGCACATAGAAACATGATATGAAGTCAAAAGTAAGGGAAGAGAATTGTTGGCGAAATTTTATCCAAGTATGACTTCAATTTTGCAAACTACCCAATTGTAAATTTCATTATAATAGACAAATTAAATGGCTCGATAGAGTGCAAATTTCATATATAGTATACGCGCGCTGCGTGTAAATTGTAATCAAGTCTTGGTTCAACTTGAGTGTAAATTAATGTACTTGTAGGTTAGTTGTTGCTATTTTAATTATTTCCCCGGCCAGAGCTGTCTCAGTGTTAACAGTGAAGCTAAAATGTCTAAGTTAACTGTTACAATAAAAAACACTATTCAGGTTTAAAAGTTGGAATTTTTAAAAGACAAAAATGCCCTTATGTAGAGACCACGTGTCACACTGGAAATGCCGTCACCGTCATTCATCTCTTCTCCCTTCATCTCTGTTTGGGCACTCATCACCCTCTCTTTCTTTGTACTTTTTAATTAATCTTGTGAGAAAGCTAGAATTTCTATGTGATCCCATTGAAGTTTAAATTCAATTTGTACACAAAGGTCTCTATATATACATACATATAGATACACAGATGTATATATAATATTCAACATCATACTCTAATACATATATGCATCTCTAATTCTGTGTATAATTATATATATATATAGAGAGAGAGTTGTTCGAACCTCACTACTGCCTTAGTGATGAATTAGTGGTGGTGGGTTTTGGCCGTTGGCATTAATGATTGGGAGAATGGTACTTCAAGGGGGTGGGGGAGGGGGGTGATGTATCCAGATGTTTATCCCTCTGAAACTTCCTAATCTGTGCGTAGACTTTAGTCTATCTCTGGATATCTGTTTATTGCATAGTGATAAATTCCATTAATGATTGGGAGAGTCGCGGTTGAAGGGTAGGGTGGGTGAGCTATCTAGATGTTTATCACCAAAAAATTTCCTAATCTCTGCACATGTAAAACTAAAATTCAAAAGGCTAGACTGTAGGCTCTTTCTTGATATATCATTTTTTTGCATACTGATAAATTTCCATCATTCTTTCGATCTTCATGGGCTAGATTCATACAGTGCCTCTCTTGTTATATTCCAGTTTATGTATTTATAGTCATCATCACAGCTAGCTCAAATCATTCTATCTTTGCCCACTAGTAATTTTTTTTAATTCTTATGTTGTCCTTCTTTACACCCTAAGAAGCACAAGCAATTAACACAAGACATAACGATTTAGGACATGGACACGGCAGGGATATTGCATACGAATGTATCTTGAGATGAAGACAAATGTTTTTATTTACTATGTATATGAATACGGATGTAGGGCACAGAGATATAAAAGGCATGAATCTATATGTGGATGTATTTTTGTTATTTTTCACTTATTTATTTCCATATATTTTACTCTGACTCCGAACTATATGTTTATATTAACTCACAAAGGTATCTTGGGATGTGCCGAAACACAAAACATATTTGTCCGTGAAGTGTCCTCAAAGTGTCTTAAAAAAAATAATAATTAAAAAAAATTGACATGCCAAGTGGCACGTTCAACATGTGGATATTCATGTCGCGCCGTGTCAGTATCCTTACATGTCGAATAAGGACACGACAACCATTTTGAGGTGTTCATGCTTCTTGGTTTACCCCTTTTACTTAGCATCCCCTCTGTGGGCATTGATGATGTTTTGTTGTGTTAGTTGTGTCGCCTTAGCCTTAGGTATGGTAATCATTACCTTGTTGGATCATTACCTTGTTGGGATTCTTTGACGCGAAAGTTATCTTTTTCATCAATTATGTTTGTGGGTCTCTTCATTTTTTGGGTGTCACTCATTGTTCATCAGAGACACTGTCCCATGGTTTGTGGCTTTGCAACTTTCTTTGTACTTGGTGTTTTTCTTCTTTGTTTCATTGTATTTGAGGTCATTGACAATAGGAGCTATTTCAAGTTCTGTAAACAGTGAGTTTCGATGAAGACAATGAAACATTTGAAACAAAATCAACCCAACCATGAATTTGTATCGGTCAAGAAGAGGGGCGAGAGAGAGGTTTTTGGCTAAGGGTGTTTGTCAAGGTTAATTTTGGTATTTAATCGACCAAATTTGCTGACATCACTAAATTTTAATGTCTGGATAATGGAAGGAAGGTTGGTATATATTGAAATAAAAGCAAGGGAAGGCATTGTAATTTTAGAAACTTTGAGGAGGTCCCTGTAGGTTGTAATTATCAGAAACCTCAATGGAACTCTATGAAATTTACCCAATTATTTATGTTTTATTGACTATTAGAAGTTAGGGTTTTGTGAACCTTATTAGTTGTTGGATGTCAACTGTAGTAATAGTCCATGGGCTGGTATATAACCAAATCAAACCAAACCAAACCAAACTAAGCCTTAAGTCCCATCAAATGGGGTCGGCTACATGAATCCTTCTTTTTTATGCGGCCCTATTAAAGGCCATTTCGTTAGTCAAATTAAGTAGATCCATATTTCTATTTACAACGTTAATCAACGTTAATTTAGGTCTACCCCATCCCTTAACACTTTCATCTACCGTTATAGTATCGCATCTCTTTATTACTGTCTCTGTTGGTCTTCGTTGAATATGACCAAATCATCTCAATCGATTCTCTCTCAACTTATTTTTTATCAGTGTTACTCCTACCATTCCTGAATACACTCATTCTTAATTCTGTCTTGTCTAGTCTTGTTACACATTCATTTTAGTATTCTCATCTCAATTACACTCATTTATTTACATGTTGTTTCTTGGTTGCCCAACACTTCGTTCCATACAACATCGCTGGTCTAATAGTCATGGTGTCTTAATCCTATGGGTCATATCCGCATCAATCTCCCTCATTGTTGTCCATGGGCTGGTGTATATATATTTAAATTTTTATTTTTCATTTGTGTGTGGTTTATATCAGTCTTAATTCTTAAAATTTCCAAATTTCTTGTTGTGGGATCTTGTCCTATTAGGAGTAGGAAGAATCTAGCAAGCTATAAAAATCTCTATTAATTTTTATATTTAATAGAGTTGACTATTGGGTATTAGATTATGTTGTATATGATGCAACCTGACCTTAGGATGTGATTTCTAGGGAATTCAAGGTGGGAAAAGAAAAGAGAGTTAAGTTACTGTTCTCAGAAGTTAATGTTTACAGCCACAGAAGAGCCTCCCTGTGAGCCCAAAACTCTGTTCTGCTGATTTATCACCAAAAAAAAAAAAAAAAAAAAAAAGGTCTGTTCTACCAAACCCCTAATCAGCCTTAACCATATTCTTGCCATTTTGCTTTTATTTGAACTCTTTCACCCTTAGGTATTTGGTTGCTGTCTTAGAATTTCCAGTAACCACTGATCTGAAGTTCCAGCAACCGATTACTTAGAAGACCAAGCCAATTTTCACCATTTTCAATGAGCAAAACCTATATCCCATTTTCTACATGTTAGCAAGCTTTTTATAACCCTGGCAGGCTGGTCCTCCATGAAACCAACTGTGGTTGACAATATTTTGAGTTGCCTGGTGCTCTCTAATGTCAATTTGTTGTGGGCTCGGAGGATAATGTTTTTACCTACCTAAATTTTAATTGCAAAAATGGATTCTGGTTTTATTTTGTTATATAAAGAATGTATTGAAATTAGAAATTCATTTCACATTTTACAAAACAGTGCAGTTGCATGATCTTATTTCAATTTAGGAAATAAATTTTGTTGTGTATAATTTATGCAAATTATTTTGATATATTTAGAGATGAGATATATTTTTACTCCTTGATTATCAATTGTTATCTATATTCATCACAACACCATCATCTCATTAAATAGAGTTAATAACAGTCCTATTATGGGTCTGCTGTTCCAATTAGAAAATTATCTACTGATTGTTCTATTTGTTTTTCTAACTGTATCAATTTCTTCAAGAACATGAGGGCAAGCAAGGATCCCCTGATGAGAGAAAGCAAGCGGTACAAACTCTCACAAAAGGATGCAGGCTTTTTATTAAGAGCGGTACAAGAGAGGGCATCTGCCAATAAAAAACCAGAAATTAAGTGGGGTAACCAGGCGGCGCATCTTCCTTATGACTTGATTTTCAAGATTCTTCTTCTACTTCCTGCGGAATCTCTTCACAGATCAAGTTTTGTATGCAAGGCATGGTTTAATTTGATTAACAGCCCTGATTTCATTGAAGCTCACATGGGTCAATCTGAAACTGTTCTTATCTTTCTACAATCAGTCCCTGAAAGAAGGCCCAAGACATTCTCTATTGAAGCCAAGCTTGCTCCGTCAAAACATGACTCGATTTTTTTAACTAATGAAGCACCTAAACCTTACATCAATTTCTTGGAGGTAGAAGACGGAATGGGTAAGGTGAGTGAGTCAAACATAAGTGGTTGTAAGGATATCCTGGCAACCTGTAATGGTTTAATTTTGGCCAAATGTGAACTGAACAGAGGGTTACTAGTCATGAACCCTGCTACTAGGAAGCTTGTCGGACTCCCTCTAGGTACTATTGTTCCCCGTGATGAGTCATATGGGTTCGTGTTCAGCCACTTGACGAGAGAATATAAAGTGGTACACTTATTTCGAGATGAAAGTGGATATATTGGTTGTGAGATACTGAGCCTTAATAGGAAATCATGGTGGGCTGTGGATGGCCCTTCATTGGGACTACTTAGAAGGTTCATATACAAACCTGTTTCGGCCATTGGAGCCTTGCATTGGCTCCCAGCCAAACATGACTGCAATTACCTAGTGTCTATGGGCATTGACGACGAAAAGTTTCAGACAAAAACTCTTCCTGTTAGCAGCAGCATAAGTGATAGACTGGTTGAGGTTGGGGGATTTCTAAGCTTTGTGACCCATGTTACACGGAATAGAATAGAGGCGTGGATATTGAAGGGATTAGAGGGGGAAGATTGGGTAAAGCAGCATATTATAACCACCGATGATAGAATAGTGGATTTGATTCCACTTTCGACTTTGAGGCATGGTCGAGAAATGGTGTTCAAGGGATACAGAGACTCTTTCTATGCTTATGATTTTGAAGCTCAAGCAATGAGAAAGGTTGAGATGGAAAAACGACCTGTCCAGCATAATGGCTCTTACTTGCCTCATGTGAATTGCCTTGCTTCATGGGAGAGTCTTGGGGGAGCCTTGTGGTAGGTACCCACCCCGTGTCGTTCCTTTTTTATTGCTGTCAATGTAATAAAGCTCATGAACTTGGTAATTAAGCCCAAAAGTGGCTTGTCTAGGCATGATGTCTTAGACATATTTATGTTTATTGCTTCGTAGTGTGTGATTTTCTTGTGAAAAAATGGCCGACCATTGTATTATATTTGGAATGTCGGTTTAGGTGAATGATTGCTTGTTATGGTATGGTATGCATTTGGGGTTTCTGTCTCTCTTTCAGTTTGATCATGTTTGTTAATAGTTGTATTATTGACTTCAAAATGTTGTGGAGGAAAAATTGTGGTTCAGTTTTTAAGCTGTAGATTTTCTTCTCTTTTTTTAGTCTTGAAATTAATTTTTTGACAAAAAAATAAATAAATTTGATCAAAACTTCATTATATAATAAAACTTTCTTGCATCAAGGATATAAACAAAAATTGTCTTGAGAAGTTCACACTCTGACACTTAAGAGTCGTGCAAAATATCATTCAATTTGTTAAAATCGTTTCGATTTGCATCAATCTATATCGTTCTATTTGCTAATCGTGGTTTAAATTTTAAAATTTATAATCTATCTTTAAAGTCGTTCTGTTCCGTTATAATTAATATATATATATATATATATATTTTTTTAACTTATAATGAAATATCAAAGTAAAAATAAGTGTGAAAGAGATTTAATATGTGAAATTTATTACAAATTAGCAGTTATATATATATAAAAAAATTATTATGTAAATTAGTGTTATATACTATGCAAAGGTTTGAGAATTGGTTAGAATATTCTTTAATCTTCCAATCTATTCAAAACTGCTTAAACAACAATTTGTCAATCTGTTAATCTGTCATTCAATTTATAATTTTACTCTAAAACCGTCCGAATCGCACCAATCACATCCTCAAAATATTTTCAATGATTAATTTAATATTTTAAATTTGAAAATGATCCTCAAAATATTTTCAATGATTAATTAATATTTTAAATTTGAAAATGAGCCCTTATAGTATTTTTTTTTTACACTGACCCTTTTCAAAAAGAATAAACTACAATTATTGTCCTGAAATGTATAAAATATATAAATTACCCTCTAATTTAAGAAATTACAAAAAGTTTGTCTTTTCACCATAAAAAACCAAATTACCTATTTACCTTCCTATTTTGAAATAAAGAAAAAAAAATATCACGTCACTCAAATCATTCATCCCTCACTGAATCAAAAGCGAAGAGAACGTTTGGTTATTTTGATAATTAGGTTAAAAATCAATTTTTTAAATTTTTAAATTTTTTTGAGTTACACCAACCATTTTTTTTCCCCCATATTTCTCTGAAAAAAAAAAAAAAAACTGACTTTTATCCTACCTAAAAGCGGAGTTTTGGTAAAAAATTCTCGGGATGTCTGTCTACCTCTACCTTTAGCTTTCAATCATATATGTTTTGTGTTTTTTTATTGTAAACATAATTTTCTTTCTCTTTCCCATCCATTTTGCCATCTTAGAAATCGAGTAGTTTGATGGGTTGAAGTCTCTTACTGTTCCATGATATGTGAAACCCCATTTTTGCTTTGCAAGAATGCTGGTTTTTTCTGTGATCAGATGTTTTGATTAAGTTCTTGTATGTAATTAGCCTTAGCTCTTATTTTAGTTTTGATGCTTCTGTTTCTTTCGTTTGCTTGGATTATCAAATTCTGTTTGTTTCCAGAGAAATTAGTCGTTGGAAGAAATTTTATGTGAAAGTCAAGTTTTTCTTTGTCAAGAAACTTTCTTGGGAGATTTATCAAAACAAAGAAATTCTCTGTTATCATTTTCCATGACATGTTCTTATAGGATGAAGTGTATGTATTTAGATAGAGAGTGCTTGTGTTTTTTTGTTTTTGGTAAGACAAACAGAAAGCACATTTTGGAGTAGAGTAGGGAGACATATAGCTCTGTGTTCTATTACATTTTTTTTCTCTGTTTTTCTTTGTTTCGTTGATGAATCTCTGGTTATGTAATCAACTCTTAGATGGTCTGTTTTGTTTAATCTGAACTCTGGTTGGAGAGTCAGAGAAAGCTCTTTGTTTCTTTATCTGTGGATCCCTTTTTTTATTGATTTTAAATTCATCTTTTATCAGTGCTTGGTGTTTACATATTTCATTCTACTATCTGTTTGATTTTAAATTCAAAAAGTCATCCTTCTTTAGTTGGTTCTTCAATCCGAAAAGTTTCTTTTTTTCATTCTCAAGAATATTTTTGTGGAAACATTTTCTCTCAAAACAAAAGGTTTTCCTTTCTTAATAGATTTTGTTTTATTCTTTACATGCAGATTTACAGACAATAACAAGCAGCCTTATTGAATTCAGAGCAAGAAACAAGAGACATGATGCCTGGAATCAGTAAGCAGGACTAGATCTACATGATCATGCAGTTTCTTCATAAGGAAAACTTCAATTCAACCTGTCACATGTAAATTCTTACTCCAAACCATTGCTTCCCTTTTTGTCTTTGAATTTTCCTTGTTGCTTTCTCGATTGTTTCAGAACATTACTGCTTCTCCTTCTTTTTCTTTTTCTTTTTCTTTTTTATTTCTTAATAATTTCTCTCGCAATAGGCTTCGAGTCACGTAGCTTCTTTGACATCACGTACTTTGAAGAAGGGGTGCTTAATGGGAATTGGGATGAGGCTGAGAGAGACCGTTCTTTATTTTGCAATTTGGAAGCCGAAGACGATTGCGACGGCATAAAATGCTTCTGTTAATTCTTCTGTTACTTGCACTACAAAAAAAGTGATCTTAAAACTTTTTGCGACGGAACATTTACCATCTCAAAAAGTCATTTTTTGCGACGGCACAACTTGCAGTTGCCAAAAAATGTGACTTTTTGAGACGGCACAACTTGCCTTCGCAAAAAATAGAGTATTTGCGACGGCATAAAATGCTGTCGCAAAAAAGGAGAGTATTTGCGACAGCAGAAATTGTTGTCACAAAAAAAAAAGAAGAGTATTTGCGACGACAGAGATTGCTGTTGCAAAAAAAATAGAGTTTTTGCGACAGTACCAGCTGCAGTCGCAAAAAAAAAAGAAGAGTTTTTTGCGACTGTAATAGGTACTGTTCCAAAAAAAAAAAAAGTAAAAAAAAAATATATATATATATATTGTGGCTTTGAGACTGCTTCATATATAGTTACAAAATGGTTTAAATAAATGCTCAATGTGTTTGGTTTGAGTTTTTTGGATTAACTTTTTTGAAAACTTAGTTTTTTGATTTTCGTGTTTTTTTGTTTTTAGTGAATATTTTTAAAATTTTAAACATTTTTTTTATCTTTTTAGATGCACTTTACTTTGATGTATCTAAAAAGTAAAAAATTCATGAAAAAATATTTTAAGAATTTAATAAATACATAAAATATAAAAAATTTACTGAATTTTCGTATTTTTTTTTTCTATTTTTGGTATTTAGTGAATTTTTAAAAGGCTTTTTTCACAATTTTTTTACTTTTTAGGTATATTTATGTTAGGTATGTCTAAAAAGTAAAAAAAATTGCTTAAAATATTAAAAAAATTCAATAAAAACAAAAAAACACGAAAAACAAGAAAGTAAAATTTTCTGAAAAGTGTTTTTGGAAAAACACAACCAAGCAAGGTTAGTCACCCAAAAAAAAAAAAAAAAAAAAAAAAAAACGACGTCGTCTTACTCTTTTAAACATTTCTCTTTTTCACTTATTTTTTCATCTTTCTATCGCTCTGTCTTTGTCTCTCTTCTCTTTCTCTCTCTCACTCCTCACTCCTCACTCTTCTTTGTCTGTCTGTCTCTCTCTTTCTCTATGTGTCTCTATCTCTCTTCTCTCTCTCTCTCTCTCTCACTCATCACTCTTCTCTGTCTGTCTGTCTCTCTATTTCTCTCTGTGTCTCTGTCTTTCTCTCTGTGTCTCTGTCTCTCTTCTCTTTTTCTCTCTCACTTATCACTTTTCTCTCTCTGTCTGTTTGTCTGTCTCTCTCTTTCTCTCTGTGTCTCTCGCCCATCTCTCTTCTTTCTATCTCTCGCATCTCTTTTCTCTCTTTGTCTCTCTTCTCTCTCTCTCTCGCTCATCTCTCTCTGTCTCTCTATTATTTATCTCTTTTCGCTTTTTTTCTCTCTCTATCTCTCTCTTTGTCTATATCTTTTTACCTATTTTTTCATCTTCATCTCTCTCTTCTCTTTCTCTCTCTCACTCATCACTCTTTTCTCTCTGTCTGTCTGTCTGTCTATCTGTCTCTCTCTCTCTCTGTGTCTCTTACTCATCTATCTCTTCTCTCATCTCTTTTCTCTCTCTCTGTTTCTTTCGCTCTTCTCTCTTCTCTCTATCTCTATCTCTCTCGCTCATATCTCTTCTCTCTATCTCTCTCGTTCATCTCTCTTCTCTCTATGTCTCTTTCGCTCATCTCTCTTCTCTGTCTGTCTGTCTCTCTATTTCTCTCTGTGTCTCTATCTCTCTCTTTCTCTCTGTTTCTCTGTCTCTCTTCTCTTTCTCTCTCTCACTTATCACTCTTCTCTATCTGTCTGTCTCTCTGTCTCTGTCTCTCTCTCTTTCTCTCTGTGTCTCTCGCCTATCTTTCTTCTCTCTATCTCTCTCATCTCTCTTCTCTCTCTGTCTCTCTTTTCTCTCTCGCTCATCTCTCTCTGTCTCTCTATTGTTTATCTCTTTTCGCTCTTTTTCTTTCTCTATCTCTTTATTTGTCTATATCTTTTTACCTATTTTTTCATCTTCCTCTCTCTCACTCATCACTCTTCTCTCTCCGTCTGTCTATTTGTCTCTCTCTCTTTGTGTCTCTTACTTATCTATCTCTTCTCTCATCTTTTTTCTCTCTCTGTTTCTTTCGTTCATCTCTCTTATCTCTATCTCTCTCGCTTATCTCTCTTATCTCTATCTCTCTCATCTCTCTCTGTCTCTCTCGCTCATCTCTCTTATCTTTATCTCTCTTTCTGTCTCTCTCGTTCATCTCTCTTCTCTCTATGTCTCTCTCGCTCATCTCTCTTCTCTCTATCTCTCTATCTTTGTCTCTCTCGTTCATTTCTCTTCTCTCTCTGTTTCTCACTCTCTATCTCTTTCTCATTTTGTCTGTCTCTCTCTCTCTCTCTCTCTCACTCTTTATCTCTTTCTCTTTTTTTTTTCTCTCTCTCTTCTCTTTCTCTTTTTCTTTCTCTCTCTCCCTCACTGTGTTCGCGTTGCTCATTCTCTCACTCTCGTCTTTTCTATTTACTGAGCTCCCTCTCGATTTATCAATCCACT